AAAAAAAAAAAAAAAAAAAAAAAAAAAAAAAGAAGAAAGAAAGAAAGAAACTTTTACCTTCTTTTAAGTTCTCTGGCTCCTGAATTCTCATGACTGACACTTCGCATTCTAGTGTTTTCTAGATTGTGCCACTGTCTCCCTGGTTTATACTTCAGAATCTCATTTTGCCACTCATTGTCAAATGCATGAGCATCACCTACATTAAATATAAAAAGAAAGGAACATACACTTAGGTATCAACTGTCAGTAAGTGCTTCCCCCATTCTTCTTGCTGGCCTGGTGTTTTCATCAACTTATCCTCAAGACAGAGGCAGGAAGCTGTTTCAAATACAAAGGCCTTTCGTTAGCATAATATTCCTTTTCTTGTTTTTCGTTCCTTCATTCCTATTGATTATCTGGTTTTTCACTCACCTGTCTGGTCAACCAACAAGGACTGGCTGACACAATTACACTTAGTCATGGTCTGTCTCTGAAACACCTCCCAGTGGTGTTCCTGTACTGTGACGCTCCTTCTGTGGCTGGCTTTCCTATTCCCCTCACAGGCCTCCTGTCTAACAACCTCATGGGCTCTGTTGTCAATTAGCAACTTGACTGCTGGCTTACGGTGTCATGGAAGAGGTAACTTAATTTCCACAACAGCAGTGATACATAGATGACAGCTTCTGGTCTTTCACAGTACTTTTACAATAATGTATTCCTAAACTAAAAATTTCTCCAACATGTTACTGATCGTGAAGTAGTCAATATACTTAGATGATAAAATTACAAAGGTTACAATTAAAGAAGGACAAGATATTGTGGCTACCATCTTATTACAGAAAAACAATTTAATCCAACCCATTTTAATAGAATTTTTCTAAAATAATACAGTAATTTAAGCCTTTTACTATAAAAATTACTCAAAATAGATTCTGAAAATAGGAGATGAATGACTAAATTTCATTATATCACTTTTAAATGAAAATACAAATACCTGAATATTACTGTTAAAAAATAACAAAATTTGATTTAAACTGCTACTACATTTTAGTTTACTTAATACTATAATGAGAAGGATTAGGATACCTGAAGGCCCTAAAACATTGAAGACTGAATAAAAATCTAGAAAATGAAAGACTTACTTGATAAAATACATATTATCTAGCATAGGCCAGGAATTAAAAGTGATACAAAAACCCAAGTTTTCAAAATACAGAATGGTTAAAGTAAAGTATGACCTATTCATGATGAAACATTTAGGTTCCCACTTATACTAATTTTTAAAAAATAAGTTGATAGGTGATTTTTACAATTAGAATGGTGAATTAAAATAAGCACAGTATTACACTAAATCATTAACAATATTTATTTGGAGTTGGGATTATAGATTTTATTTTGTTCATACTTTTTAAATGTACTTCCTTGATAAAAATTATTTAAAACTCATTTTACTTATTGGTACCATTACTAAATAAGAATTCAAAAATTTTATTTTCCAAGTATAAAACAAGAAAATAAATTATACCCCGCACTACCAAAGAAACACTGTAAAAACATCATTATTCAATGATTAAACCTCCATTTTATTACTTTGACAGAGCATTCCTCACACACATTCTTCATAACCTACATCTTATGAAATATTTCTACAAGAAAATTAATCAAGTTCTGCAAATGCAGCTGATAGTGTAACTTTAGGGGACAGAACACTTTTGTAATAACTTACTTTCACTCATATTGATGAACTCTTGGTTGACCTCTTCATCTCCAGTTTTGTTGTTCTTTGACTTTTGAATAACATGAGCTCTATCATGGATGTGATGACCAACAGCCATTTTTTCTAGTCCACTGTCAGAATCTCTCATTGCTCTCCTGGTTTCCTTTATCTGTATAAATAAAATAAAAATTATTTAGACATCTAAAACTGACTTAATTCTAAGTTCCTGAGCATCCTGTCACTTATTAACGTAAGGCCATATAGCTACCCTGCTAAAGATAATGAGTAACTAGCTGGGAGGCTGAGGCAGGAGAATCACAAGTTCGAATCCCACCCAGCTAATCTGTAATTTAGAGAATCCCCATCTCAACATATAAAAAAAAGCTGAGGATATAGCTCAATGTGAAGGGTCTGTGTTCTATCACTAGTACTATACTCAATTCTATTATCAACTTATAGTAAAACTGTGGCAATAGTTCTGATGTTTCCTGAAATGTTTAAACTAAAAATGTCTAGGACAAACATAATGAATACAATTTAACATTTTACAAATTACAATAAAATATTAAATAAAGGAGGACTTAATCATATAAAACTGAGTGCCTTTAACAGCGTCTGTGACAATGTAATAGATGGAAGTACCTGCTACATTCCTACAAGTAATGTCAACTACTCATCAATCACGTTGATGGGTGTGAATCTTATCGTTCCCCCATCAACTACATGGAAATGTTATTAGAACATTTATGACAGCCAAAGATTAACAAGATTAGCTGTGAGACATCTTTATATCATTTATACTTAAGACTTTGTCACTTTTAGCAAGCCAGGATTTAAATGTCCGTGATGAATTTCCAGAACTATGGCAAGAGCATCATTAAGGTATGAGAGAACTAAAAAATTATATGTGAGAACTAAAGAATTAATTACTCCCAATTCTTTAGTCCGGAAAACCTACTATTTTACTGTAAGTTCTAATAAGGAAATGGAGGGGTGGGAATTCACATTCATCTCATACCACAGTTTGTAGAAGCCAACAGTTTTAATCACCATGGTAACCTGGTAATTTGTAAATGAAGATGAATGTGCACATACCCTACAACCCAACACTATCATTGCTAGGTTTTTTAATAGGAGACCCGTATAAGGATGAGTTTGTGCAAAATCAGATACACTTACAAATATCCATCAACAGAAAAATGGATAAGAAATTTGTTCCCTATTTATATTTTGGGAAGTATATAGAAGTTCAAACAGAAAGGTCATGAGTTCAATTCCCAGTACCGGAAAAAAAAACAACCAAAAAAAATAAAGTTAGAACAGAAACGAGGACTACATGTATCAACTTGAATAAATCTTAGGAGCACATTACTGAGCAAGCGCAAGTTGCAATGACACATGCAATAACAATACCATTTATATAAAGTTTAGATTCCTGAAAAATAATCCATTATGTTTTATGATGTATACATAAATAGCAAAATCATGAAAATATGCATAATAATGATAAATTTCAGACACAGAAAAGTGAGAAACAGAAAAGGGACCAGGAAGGAGTACAGTGGAAGCTTTAATTGTATCTGTAACATTTTTGCTTAAGAAGAAAATAAAAAGGAGACAATCTGAATCAAATAAGAGAAAAATTCTATGATTTGAGTAAACTGGGTGGCAGGGATATGGATATTCATTATGCATCTTTTCTGTACACTTGAAACATTTCATTTAGTTAAAAAGTTGTAAGTAGGCTTTTTCTTCATGAAACAAAGGTTTTTATTATCATTATCTTGTCAATATGTGAAGATGAAAAAACCAACAGGTAATTGCATGAAAGAAGTCATCTGTATGCAGGTACAGGCAGAGAGGACAAACAAAATGCCATTCAGTACAGGCAGGTGAACTTTAATGCTTTTCCCAGCGATGAAGCATTACCATTGTGCCTCTGTCCCCATCCTGCCACTCTTTACCAGATCAAAAGTAATAATTAATATTTGATGTAGCCAACCTATCACCCCACAACTTCGTAAAGTTCTAAGAATGCTTATAGAATACATACTCCTCCTGGAGCCCTGCGGGTTTGAGCTGAGGCCTGGAAAACCTTTGGTGGTTCATCTCCTGTTTTGGAGTAAGTCATAACTGAGGAAGAACAAAATGAATGTCCATTTGGATCCACTGAAAGGTGATCCTACAGGAAAAAAGAGATTGTAAACTCAGAGTCAGGTCAAATATGAAGAATTAATGCCAAAGGGCTCAAATAAGTAACAACACTAGCTATCTGCTCTACTAAGAATAGCATACTATCAATATTCTTTATCCCACTGTCACCCCCATAACCTCCTTCAGTTTTGATATAAATTCCCACTCTTTTTAAAATATAACAAGTGATCTGCTTAGATATCCTTAAATTGTTGGGTCTTTGTGCCTTAGATTTAAATAAAGATGTTGTGCCCTTAAAACCTGTGATAGGGGCTGGGGAAATAGCTCAGTGGCATAAGCACCTGTCTGGCAAGTGCAAGTTCCTAAGTTTGATCCCCAGCACTGAAAAAAACAAAACAAAACAAAACTGTGATATTTCCATAATCTGTGGTGGACTCTTGTGTACAATACTGTCAACCTTGAGTTGATTAGCTATGCTCTGAGAAGTTTCCTTTGGCCATTCTGAAATGATTCATAAAATCCAAACTGGATGAATAGAATGATTTAAAATTCCAGATTCAATCATTTGTTTTTATTTTAATATTATGAGTAGAAAAGTATGGGTATTAGTACTAGCTTATAAGTACTGTATTTGGATTATACAGATCGAATCTAGTACCTAAACAACATTCCTGAAATTTCTGTTTTCAGAGTTTCAGTAAATGTGATGTCTTAGATGCTACAAATCATTGCAGATAGACAGGTTATAAATAAAGAAAACATGAAAATTCATATAAAATGTTCATTTATAAGAGAAGAACAAATGTTTCTAAGGCTGAAGTTTTAAAATTGTGAACACTGACCAATGTTGTTTCTCAAAATTGTAGGTTGTGAAATAAATTTAGTGGGATATGACCAGGAGTTTTAAAACATGGAGTAAAATATAGAAACTATCAGCACACACTGTATGTAGTATGTTCTTTTTTTTATGAAACCTTTGTTTCATGTATAAAGTTTATAATTGCTACGTATGGGTTAATTATGCAAGATTTCCCTTTTAGTTATTATGGACTATCGCAAAATCTTTAAAAGTCACTATAACGTAGGGCACATAGTAACTGAAAACTACTGTTATCTCATCATCGGTTTTTAAATTTTTATTTAGGTATTTATTTTTACCTTATTTTTAGTACTTACAAAGTTTCTTTGTAATTCCTGCATACTGTTTCGCATATTTAACATCATCCGGTCCATTGCCTGAAAAGGGCTGACATCTGTGTGCTACAGAACATTAGAAAGTAATGGTATTAACTACAAGTACAACACAAAAGAGCAAGTAAGTCTTTCCAAAGCAGCAGAAACAAATTTTTTCCAATTCATTTAGCGGGATCTCATGCACCAACCAACCAGGCAGAAATAATTGAAGGACTATCCAATGAGAGTGATTTGTTAAAAATTGAACCATATGCAAAATCCCAAACAGTCAATGTAAATGATTAGGGCATTTAGGAAATTATAAGGCTGTAAATAATATTATATCACACATTTATACATGCATGTAAATATGAATATACGTACACGTTATTTATCAGCATTCTTAAAATAATTTAGTTGATATTAAATACTGAGTGGTATATTTTGGGGCTGAAACAGTGCTAGCACAGGATAGCTTTTAAATTCTTCCTTCTTCCTCTCAACATCCCACAATGCAAGAAAGTAAAACTTGGGTACCTCCACCACTACTACATGGCTGGTAGAAGCTGTCTCTTTACGTAGCCAGCCCTCGTCTCATCACCTCATCTCATCACTATCACAAGGGCTGTCTGTACTTGTCCCCAGGTTTGGAGCTGAGATTCTAGTGGGCCTGTCAGGCCTTCGGAAATTTTGTACACATGTTCCTCTTTCTGTCGTGAATGCTACCTCCTGACTTTTAGCATTGATAGTTGCTTCTCATCATTCAAGAAGCACTCCTATAGAAAGGCCTCTCCTGTCATGTCTACCCCTTGCTTCACTTCCCACCTCTGTATCAGTACTATGCTTCATCTCCTTCAGAGCTGTGTTTCTATCTGAAATTATTTTGTTATTTATTGTCTGCTTTCTTACTTTATAGAAATCTGAGGGCAGGCCTACCTTTTCTGTCTCATATAACTATATCCTCAATACTTAAAAGATAATTCATAGCACATAAAATGGCTCAGTACATGTTTGATGAATAATTAAATAATCTCTAACTCTGGGTTGAGGATGTAGCTCAGTAGTAAAGTCCTTAACTGTCATGCAGAGGCACAGCAGAGAAAAAAATCGGTAGCTCAACTCATATCTACATATCCAACTGTTTACCTAGACAATCCACAGGTGCCTCAAAAGTAAAAAAATCAAAATGACTCTTTGGACAACTACACTTTCATATCTGCATGGATCAACCACTCTCTGTTCTTTAGCTCAGTAGCATTCTCCTCTATCTAATCTCTCCTGCAGAAAAACAGGCATTCCATACTTCCCTTTTATCTTTCTACTGCTCCTTCAACCCAGTGAATTACTGAATTCTCACCACGCACATCTTCATCTTTCAAATGACATATTATTTCCTCTATAGCCATGGCCATTAGCAAACACAAGCTATTACTAATGCTTTCTATAAAATGCTTCCAGCAGCCCTGGACCTCCACTGTAGTCCCTTCTTTTCCTTCCCTGCAGACATAATGATCTTAGAAAAGAGAATATGAATGTGCTACCACATTAGTGATAGAGCCCATCAACTGCTTCTCCTGCTCTTAAGTTAATGTGCATACTCTACTAAGGCTTGAAGAAGTCTCTGTTTACCTCTTCACTGTCAATTATATTAACGAGGGTCAAGTGACCCTAAACATCTTTTAGTCCCCCAGGTTCTGAGTCTTTGTACTGTATCTTCCTGTGTTGCATCCACTCTATCTTTCCCATCTGGCTTCTCCTACTGAAGGCCCACTAATCTTTAAGATTCATGAAGTCCTCTCTGGCTGACCACACCCTCCACCCCACACTACCTCAAAAGGTTCAAGTGATATCTTTTTTTTCTATCTGTGCTCCCACAGCACACTGAATTTCCTGGTCATTTTACTGATACCCACTACCTCTGGTCATTATATTAAACTTCAGAGTGACTGAGTTCAAACCCAGCAGGAAAAAAAAAAGAAATTTCTCATGAGCGTTTAGATTAAAATGTTCAAAAATCATGCTATTCTCTACTGTTCTTTCGATGCTTTTGCATGGACTGGAAACTAGCAGCACCAACACAGGACCAAGCCCAGAGAAACAGGAATGGGAGAAGCGACTGCTGCCAAGCAGCCATTTTTGTGACCGAGCAATAAAACACAGCATGGACACACCAGCAGCAAAGTCCTAGAGAAAGCCGCTCATCTGAGTAATTTTCCAGATGTGCTTTCTCTTGGAGCTGTCAAAAGTACGCAGAAGTCCTCAACTTCCAAACCAACTATGGGGATTATCTTTGCAAAGCCAAAGTATATCTATCAGAATCTTTTTTTTTATTTTTGAAGTCTGACTTTTTTATATTTTATGACTTCAGAAAACACAAGCCTAAACACTATGTTTTAGTTTAAAACATAAGAGAGGTTTTCAACACAAATACTAAAAAGGCACTATGAAAGTTAGTAAGATGCATGCCAATTCAGTCTGCTTCAGTTAATGAACAATAAATATTTGTCAGAAAATACTGCTAAAATGATTTGTGTCTTATGATACGAACCATGCCACCAAAACTCCCAAAAGGCACAAGAGAAAAGCTTGTTGCCTAGAAAGATATCCAATTCATTTTGGTCATATTTATTATATAATAATCCATCAAAAATACTGTATAACTACATATCTCAAAGCTACTAACATTACAGACCCAAGATATATAAAAAAATCTCAATGTATATCTTTTCAGTTACTGTATCTGCTTTTATTCATTTTAGAGCCCGACAGGAGCCCAACAGGCAAATAGGAAAGGCACATACTACTTGAAAATATGCGTACTTCAGTAGTGCAGTTGAAAGAAAAAGTACTTGCTAAGGATTAACATCAGTATTTTTCAAAGGAAATGCAAACTTACATTAAAATTAATTAAAATATAAGGTATAATGATTAAGATTAAATCATCTTTCCTTTGCTCAAGGAGGGGAAAGGATTTTTAAAAGATCCATTAATTGTGTCTTTAACCAAGTAGAGATAAAATTTTTATCTACATTAACAAAATTCTCAAAGACTGCTAGACATATTGGATAAAAATTAATATTTCTTAAAGATCAACTCATAAATGGTTACACAGAAATATAGATATCTTTACTTATTGTATTCTTTAGACATCATTATAACTAAATAGGAGAAAATTGGATTTTTTTTTGAAACAGGGTCCCACTGTGTAGCCCGGGCTGGCCTTGAACTCATGGCAATCCTCCTCCCTCAGCCTGTTGAGTGCTGGGATTATAGGTGTGCACCGCCGTGCCTGGTTTGGATTTTTTAGTATCAAAACAAGGAGGAATCCATATGCTCTTAAACTCCACCTGTCCTACTTAGGTAAACACCTCAAAACAAACCAAAGGTAGTATTAAAGACAAAAGGATTAAACCAAATGCTGCCTAATTTTGCCGGACTTTTACCACTTTTTGGAGCCATCTACCAATATTCTACTTTTAATTTTTGACCCCTGCTTGTTTTACATGGTTATAAATTGAGGCTAAAGCATCAAAGACTTGCTAATATCCTTGTCATCTTTTCCAAATTATCAAAGAATGATAGTTCATCGAACGACAAAACCCATTTTCCTGTGATGAGTTCAGTACGAGACACTTTCCATGTTGAAATTTGATGAATGGGATAAACGGTTTATAAAGAAGGCCTGAGGAGTGTGCTTGCCCCTTCTACCGTGTAGGCACAGCAAGAAGATGCCACTTAGGAATCAGAGAGCAAATCCTCACAAGACAGGGTCTGCCGTACCTTGGTCTTGGAACGCCCAGCCTCTAGAACTGTGAGGCAGGCTTCTCTTGTTTACAAGTTAAAATCTAAGGTATTTTGTTATTGTAGCTCAAGTATGAGAACAGTGGGCCTTCTTTTGTATTTAGAACTGTTTTCCTGTTTGACTTTCCTTATCCAATCATCAAATTTATACAACCATGTAATTTCTTCTGTGTGGTTTCTTCTTGATTTAAAGACATTTTGGCAGGGCAAATATAATATGACACATGGAAAATACAAAGCTCTAAATTATGAATCCTTACACACTGAAGTTTCACAGTAATTTCTCTATTTGGCTAGGTATTTCTTATTCTAATTCTTATTAAACATTTAGTACTTTAAGCAGAAGTATCTGAGAAAGAAACATTTACTTCTGCTTCCAGTGGATGACCAGCATAGCTATAACTAATGTATTCAGGTACTTTCAGTAAGAAGTTTTCAGCTGAATTATAAACAGGTCTCATGTCTATACTTAGAGGCAAGGGAATAAAGCTGTCACTTCTTGTTTATTCCATAAAAGCTGTAAGTAGCCCATTTATACACGTAAATATAAAATACTATATATAACCCTACTTTTTCCTTGCTATGGTTAAAGCAGGTATCTAAAATATTTATACTGAAATGATTTTAATGCTCATAATTCATTTTCTGCTCTATTTGACAATACTCTGACATTAACTTTAAGCTGTTGAAGGGACTCCTTAGCACTAAAAGTATGTATGATGATACTATCTCACTAACTAGAAAAAAAAGCTAATTTGAATGTGACTATACTGCTTGCAATAATATATATATGAAAAAGATGCGAAGATTCATTTTAAGTGGCAAATTAACTGTATTCGTCAAACATCTTAGGTTCTAAGATATTTTACTTTGGTTATGCTTCTACAGAGAGCAAATATGAAAATGCTTTTCTGGTAGATTCTGGAAGTTTTTACTTGGCTGATTCAATGTTTACTGAGTTCCAATATCTACATTTCAACTGTAGATCCTCATCTTTACAGAAACCCCTGTGGATTTGTTATTATAGAACTGCCATTCTTGAGGCTGAAAAGGCAACAGAAACAAATAAGGTTAAAAAGAAAAAGAAAATGATTAAGATCTAGAAACATGTTTTTTAGTTCAATGTTTCTAACCTTCCAGATCTGCTCTCAGATAACACGTTAAAGAGTGTGCTGCAGCTGTGCAAGGCTTCTGGGGCACAAATGAAGATTAAATTTTGAAGGTCTAAGGTATCTGTGCAGAAGATCAGTGTTTCCCAGTGCAACAAAGCATTTTTGTTTGTTTTTTTCTGGTACCGGGAACCGAACTCACGACCTTGTGCTTGCCAGGCAGGCGCTGTGCCGTTGAGCTAAATCCCCAGCCCCAACAAAGCATTATAATTTTGGATTTCACAATTATTTAAAATTTTTTTTTTATTAGTACCTATTTGTCTTACACAATGATTACATTTATCATAGGGAATTTGTACCTATACATATCTTTTTTTTTAGACAGTCTCACTATATAGTTCAGGCTTCCCCTGAACTCACTAGGTAGCGCAGGCTGGCCTACAACTTGCAGCAATCTTCCTGCCTCAGCCTCCCAAGTGCTGGGATTACAGGTGTATACCACCATGCCTGGTCCATAAAATATCTTAATTCTTCTTTTTTTTCCCTTTCCCCTCCCCTCCCTTCAACTTTCCTTCCCTTCCCCACTTACAAAGAAGTATGTGGGATCAGGAAAGAAATTTCCTTGTGTGCTCTAATTTAAAATGTAAGAGGAAGTTATAAGGTAAAAATAATGGTTTAAATTTTGGTTATAGCTGGGGATATAGCTCAGTGGCAAAAACACTTGCCTGGCAAGCGCAAGGTCATGAGTTCAATTCCCAGTACCAAAAAAAAAAAAAGAAAAAAAATTTGGTTGTAATACATATAACCTTATGGCCCTAAAAGTTACGATAGTCAGTGGAATTTTATATGGATAACAACTCATTATTATAGGATTCAGCTTTTCAACAGGTCCCCTTTCCCAGGTAATAGATCTTTCTGTAACACAGGTATTAGTCATATGCTATCATCATGGCTATTCAACTCTGTACTATTTTTCTCAAGGTCTCACAGGACCTTCTCACTAAATGTCTTTAAAACAAAAAACTTACAGTCAAGGCCTCTTCCCCATCATTGTGTCTTGTGCGATTACGAGCTCTCTGTCTACCATCAGAGATACTGAACATGTCTCTTCCAAAAGGTTCAGAAAAACTTCTCATCATCTGCCGCATACTTTCTCGGTGTGCCAGAAAAGAATCACTGTTGAAAATACACAGAATAATGTAAGATTGTTATAATTTAAGTAATAAATAGATGTAATAAATAAGTTTAAGTAAGACTACAAAGAATGACTTGGAGCTAATATACTTGTTAAGGAAACTAAAAAAAGAATTAAAGAAGACTGAATTACCTCATGAAAAAAGACTCACTACTTAGAGATCCAATTTATGAAAATCTGTTCTATTTGTTAACCAGTATAATTCACTTATTATACTAAAAATACACATTTATCCCATATAGTATACAAATGGTAAATACAAAGTAACACAACTCAGATAACTTAAACTGAGGAAAAGGGAGAGAAAGGAAAAACAAATAAATGAAGGAAGAAAAGAAGGAAGGAAGGAAAGAAGGAAGGAAGGAAAAATCAGAAAAATACTGTTACCAAGTAAAGGCCACTTTGCGCCGTCAACAATGTAGATCCTAACAAGGACTAATTATCACTTATGAAGTATGAGCCCTGGAAACCACAGCTATGTTATGAGCACTATAAAGAAACAATATATATTTTACTAGACAAAGACAAAGGTACAGTTAATATATGGGGCTAACTTCTATTTCTAAAAACTCTTTTTAGTAGAAATCATCACCCGACAGAAATGCCTACGAAGTCTTAATGTTTCTCAAACATTCTGTTGAGATTACCAAGCAACTAGCACATGAGTCAGGGATGCAGATGCCTGCTGCCACCCTCAACGTCCCAGTCGAATTTACTAGCTCTCCATGTGGTTTGCCGGGCTCTTATCCATCTTGGAGGAAACTGACCCTTCTGTGCTTGTGGTACCAGAACTGATTAGAATTCAAGCTCCTCTTCCTAAGACCAAGTTTCCACATGTACAAAACAAGGACAATATTGAATATTTCACTGTCAAGATTAAATGTTAGTGTCTTACCTTTTCTTCCTTATACATGGATGCCATTCCTTATTATTCTATCAGTAAACACCTCTTATGGAAAATATATGCTGTATATTTTTTAAAAGATATAGTAAAAGATATATATTTTTAAAAACAGAGTAATGATCGTATTCCAAGCCCTATCCTGTGTGCTTTATAAACATCAATGCTTTTAATCCAATATTCACTTTCTTTGTAAGTCTCACTCAAGAACCTAAAAGGTTTAATTCCTTATTATAATGGTTTTCCACCCTTGCTCCAGTTGGAAGTCATTCACCTAGTAGTCCATTCCTTTTTCCTCATTCTAGAACAAAGGCACAGTACAGGAGGAGTCTACAACCTAGCAATCTAACGCTTCGCTGCTGGCCAAACGAGCCTTTCAGAAATCTGTCCTCTTTTTAAACTTCACTTCGGTTACATCCTCCCCGTCTTAGATCACCCTTCCTGCTTCTATTTCAATTCCAATCCTCTGATGTCATCATGAAGAGCCTCAAATTTCTGTTATCTGTCAGTGCTCCCAGCCAGAAACAACTTTTCCTTTGAATGCTGCAATAGCTGTATACATAAACATACTCTAAGGGAGCGCAGCCTTATTAATGTATTACCCTCAGGAAACTGCTTAATTGGATTTGTTTGGGTATGCAGAGCGAGTGTTTTAATTCAGCTTTGTTTAGATATAACTTATATACAATGGCATCTATCCATTTTAATTGTAGTTTGAATTTTGAAAAATGTGTAACCGACAAAAGCACAATTAAGAGGCAAAACGTTTACATCCCTCCAAACAGTTCTCTCTTGTGCCTCTGTGGCGATTACCTCCCCCAGTCCTAGTTACCACTAACAAACTGTCACTGTAGTTTTTGTCCAGAATTTCATATAACGGAATCCTACTGGATGTTGTCTTGTGTCTAACTTTTTTTCACTTAGCAGGCTTCTATGATACATCTACGTTGCTCCACTTATCAACAGTTTATTTTATTCCTAAATTCATTATATGTATGATTTTGTCACAATAAAAAATACTTATATACTTTGGGCCATTTTAAATAAAGCTGCTGTCAGTAGTCATGTACCACTCCGTGTATACTGTACACAGTCTCAGGTATTTTGAGTAAACCCGTAGGCTGGGTTGTATGGTTAAGTGTGAGCTAACTGCATAAAAACAGAACTGAGGTTGTTTATGAAAGTTGGTATGTCAGTCTTCTATTTGAGAGGTAGTTTAACAACACTTCATTATGTGATTATTTTGTCATATATGTTATTCTGTATCTCCTTTGATAAACTGCGCTCAAATATACTTTGTAAAAATTTTATCATCTTTTATTGAATTGTAAGAGTGTTTTGTTTTGTTTTATTTTGGTACTGGGTACTGAACCCCGGGGGACCCTTCCACACAGCTACATTCCCACACTTAAAACAAATTTGTTTTGAGATAGCTTCTCACTAAATTGCTAAGCTGCCCAGGCTGGGTTTACACTTGTGATATCCTCTTGCCTCCACCTTCCAGAGGCCCAGGATTGCAGGTGTGTACCACCACACTTAGCTTCACTGTGACTACTTTAATGTATGTTTTGAATTTCCTGTTTGAAAGTTGAAAGGTTTCCATTTCCATTTTATATCATTCTGAATGGGAGATTTATTTGTGGTATATCACAAATGTTCTGAAATTACTGAACTTAATTCAGTTAGGAACTTTATAAACTTGATTTTCTAACTGTCTTAGTTACTTTTCTCTCACTGCTGGGACAAAATACCCAATACCCAAAATTAAGGAAAGAGTTTATTTAGCTCACAGTTTGTAGCGGTTTCGGTCCATTATCAGCAGGCTTCAAAGCAGGGTGGCATGGGAGAGGGGCAACACAGCAAAAGCAAGAAGAGCTAAAAAGCAGGCAGAGTAAGGCTTAGCCTCTTTTCCTCCCTTATTCTGTAAGCAAGCTACACCCCAGGGCAGGTGTAGCACTCACACCATGTCCGTGACCTCCTGTTGCACAGGATGAGGATGTTTACAACCTGAGGATCCTGGTCCCCTGCTCAGCTAAAGTTCTAAACTTCTCAAGTTGCTGTCCCCTTCTCAAGTTGTTGTCCCCTGCTCAGCTAAAGTTCTAAACTTCTCAAGTTGCTCCGCTAAAGTTCTAAACTTCTCAAGTTGACTCAAATGTATCAACTGTTACACTAGTACACTAATTTCTATGTGCAGTAGACAGCTACTAAAATGGCTTCCAATGGTGCTTACTCCCCAGTATTCATGCTTTGACATACTCTCCCCTTTTAACATAGGCTGGACTTACTCGTTGTTTCTAATAAGTACAATACACCAAGTTTTATAGTCTTAATTTAAAAAGATGAAAAAGTCTCATTTCTGTTATATTGTAAGTTTCTCTATATTAGGAACTTTGTTCACTCTTCTTCCTTTTGCTGCTGTAATAAATTACCACTAATTCACTGATTTAAAGCATAAGTTTATAATCTCATGGAAGTTAGAAGTCCAAAATGGGCTCAGTGGGCTAAAATGAAGGTGCTGGAGGGCTGTACTTCAGAAGCTTACAAGGAAGACTGTTTCCTTGCATTTCCTAGCTGCCAAAGATGGTGTTCCTGGGCTTATGGTCCCTTTTTCTATTTTCAAAGCCAGCAACACAGTGTATTTACGTCTCTCTGATATTTCTGCCTTCTTCTTCCACATTTAAAGGACTTTGCCGGCTGGCTCACTTCCTGCCTCGTAGGCCCCCCGGAGGAAGGGCCCCTGGCATGCAGGGAGCCATGCGGCAGAGACTGCTGTGGCGCACCAGCCTTCAGGCTGGCCGCCGCTGCTCAACTGATAACTATCAAGACACAGAGAAACAATGACACAATTGGCCCACCATGCACCAACTGCAGATGCCCACCTAAGGACGTGTGTGAATCATTCAAACATGGAAAAACCCCTGGGAATACATGCTATACAACGGGCCACTCTTGCTCCTGCCATTGAGAACCAGAAAGGTCCAGAGTCAGCAGAGGAACAGCTGCTGAACAAGGACTCGGAGAACGTGAGAATGCAGACTAAGCCCGAGGGGTCAGAGGTCCTGTGGACTGGGGTCATGAGAGCCACTCGGAAGCTGTAAACCAGGAGGACCTTGCACAATACATGCGGAGACTCCCTGGAAGCCATTCTTCCCCTGACAGTACAGGCTGTGGTGGAGCCCTGGAGAAGTCTGCAACAGGATTCCTGCTGCCTGTGCTGACAGTTGGGGAGAGGACACTAACTGGTTGTGGGGTCCCAATGCGATGGGAGGCTGGAGAGAAAATGGTACAAAAAATGGCTTTGGCCCCAGATGGCTCACTTGATTTTTGACAACCCTTAGTCTGTAACTACTTGTTAGATCCTTCTTGCGTATCTCTGTCTTCCTGAGAAACCACTTCTAAGATAACAACATGTATTACAGCAGTCACCGATATTTTCCTACTAATCTATCCATAAGTCTGTAATGTTTGTATTGTTCCTATCCTATTTCATAAATGGATGCATGTTTATTATTATGTGTTTCCTACAACAACCATTGAGAATAGTTAATGATTATTCAATAGGTCACTCATGTATAGTTCTATTTATTTTCTTTTGAAGATACCTAAGTAGAGTACAACAACTATTGATAATCTCCTACCTCTTTTGTCTCTAACTCACTATTATTTGTCTATTTGTTTTCCTGAGAAACTATCTTGTAGATAACAACATGTAAAACAACAACCATTGATAATTTCCTACCACTTTGTCTGTAATTTGGTAAGCCCCCCCCATTATTGTTATCCTTCTCTTACTCTTTAAAATAAAAAAATAAAAAATAAAAAATAAAGGACCTTGTGATTAAGTCTTCCTGGATACCCACAGCAATAAAGGCATTTTAAGATTAACAACCTTAATTCTGTTTGTAGCTATAATTTCTCCTTGCCTGTGGAATAATATTCATAATTTCCAGGAATTAGAATATGGATATCTTTATTGAAACCATTATTCTGCCTACCCTAGACATGTTCCTAAAATAACATTATGTAAAGCAATTAAAAAAAAAAATCCAACTGTTCTTGCACAGTCTGCATAAAATAGTC